AAAAAAAAAAAAAAAAAGGAAGGTGTAGGGGGGACCAAGATCTGGCCCATGGAGCCATGCTACTTGGCCTATGGGGCTGGAAACTTGGTGGCAGGAGTAGTGGCTCCTGGAGCCACAACAAATAATGTGCTGCTACCAAAATCAAGCCCCTCAGGCTACATGAGGCAATGGGTTTGGATGACTTGGGCACTGCTGATTCAGAAGAAAGGAAAAACCCAGTATGATTCAGCTGGAGGGAATCCTGAAGTCCCTGTTATAAAAGGCCGAGGCACAAGAGAGGTCAAGGAAGTGGCTCAGGCTGCTGCAGTGGCCTGGCAGGTACTCAGAGCAAAGCTCCCAGGCTGATCCCTTCACCTCCTCTCACCTGGACTGGCTGTGAGTCCCTCCACACCATGGCCTCCCCGTCACTGTCCCAGAGGAGATGCACTTCCTTCCCTGCCCACTCCCGTGGGATGCTGAGCTCCACTTTAAACCAGCAGGTCCACCACCTGAGAAAGAACAGAGCCATGTCACTGCACTAAAGGCTGCACCTGCAAGCAAGGGATGTGTCATTACAGTTAAAGCTTCTAGGGATATCCATAGGAAAGCTGCTTAGGACATGCAAATCCACAGGAGACAGTTCCTCCAGGGCTTGCCTCTTACTGACAACAACAGCCCAAGGGAAAGGCACCACACTAAGAGTTCTGGACACTCAAGTCTGCTCTGTATAGAATGAGCACGGGCACTTGGACAGCAGCAGCACAAGCTTCCTATCACCACCAACACTCTTCAGGCTCTGTCAGCAGGAACATCCTGGGAGATCATTCTGGCCTCAGCTGATTTGTATGTTGGCCATAATGACAAAACTGTAGGCAGTCAGCTGCATCCTAAACATGGAACTGAAAGAATTCACAGCAGAGCAGGCAGGGATTTCAGAGCACCCGGCTCTCAGCTTAGTCCCATCTCCAACACTGACTTGATATGGAACCCTAGCAAGTGCCTTGATTTATCCATGCCTCAGTTTCTCTTCAACAAAGATAATCACATTTTTTTTGTCTTAGTTTATGGGGGGAGAGGAATAAGGGGGTTGTGAGGAATAGTATGTATACAAGCACAAGCAACCTTAAGATGCCAAGTAACAAGGTGGAGGGGAAAAATCAGCCATATATGTACCCTGCCACTGCAGACATTACTAGTCATTCATGGCTGTGGACCCTGGGAGTAGAAACTGATCGTCACCAGGGATCCGGGTTTTCCGTTTCCCACAGAAAAATGGAGAAAACCATGGATTCCCTGTTTTTATCAGAGAAAACACTTCTTTCTCTTTTTAGCACAGAAATCTGCAGATTTTCCATTTTTGCAAAGAGCTCTTGCAGGCTGGCACAGCTCCAGCCTGCAGGAGCCAATTGCAAAAAGGGCAGGAAACCCCTAGCCCTGCCCGGAGGAGGTGGGAGAGGGGAGAGGGTGGAGCCTGAGCCTCTGGGGCAGCCAAGGCTGGGCAAGGGCTCGCACCTGCCTTTCGCCCCAGGAGCATGGAGGTAAGTGGGGCTTGGGGCAGGGCTGGGTAAGATGGTTGGGGACTGAGGGAGCGAGGGGTGCTGCTGGCCCCAAGCAGCATATCACAGCTGGGAGCAGGGCCAGGGGGTGAGGTCAGGGGTGCCCCTCTGTGGGGGGCTTTGCGGGTAAGCGATGCGGTGCACAGTGTGCTGGTGGGGCTGGAAATGACTGAGTGCTGCCCGGCCACCACCACCCTGCACTGCGCCACTGCCTCTGGCTGCACAGCTCCAAGCATGGCTCTGCAGTAGCAGGAGGTTTTGTACACAGCAGCTGTCACTGCTGGCATGGGCAGCCCCACAGGCAAGCAGCAGCGGCCACCCATGCCAGTGGTGACTGCCTCTGCCTCCAAAACTTCCCGCTGCCGCCATGGAGCCATGGTCGGAGCTGTGTGGCTGCAGGCAGTGGCGTGGAGTGGTGGTGGTGATGGTTGTGTGCCACCCGGCTACCACCACGCTGCTGCTGCTGCTGCTGCTGCCGCTGCCCAGCGGCCAGCCGCACAGCTCCAGGCAGAGCTCCGTGGCGGCAACGGGAGGTTTTGGAGGCAGCCACCGTCACACCAGGTAAGCAGCAGCATTGCATGCAAGTGCAAGCCCAAGCCACCCCACCCCCACGCCCTCAACCCTCGTCGTGGCTGCAGAGTCAGCTAGAGAGCTGCGCTCCGGCAGCATGCCAGCCTCCATCTCCCCCTCCCTTGGGCAGCCGGCCAGGTGGCATGTGTGTGGCCTGCACATGGCGGGCACCACCACACTTGCCTGCAAAGGCCCCCACAGAAGGGCACCCCTGCCCTCACCCCCTGGCCCTGCCCCCAGCTGTGATGTGCTCCCTGGGGCTGGCAGCAACCCCCACTCCCTCAGCCCCCAACCATCTTCCCCAGCCCTGCCCCACAGTCCCCAAGCCCCTCTTACCTCTAGGATCTAGGGGTGAAGGGCACAGCTCTGCGGTGGCAGTGCCTGCCCACAAAGCCCCCCACCCTGCATGCAGATGCCACCACGGAGCCGTGCAGCTGGTTGTGGGGCATGCCGCTGAATGCAAGCCCCCTGTTTCACCCCCCAGCCAGATGGCACATATGTGGCCTGCACATGGTGGCTGCCACCACACTGCTGCTGCCACACCCTGCACCACTTGCCCACAAAGCCATTCAGGTGACTGTGGGATGGTAGCGCAGGGCGCACTGGCAGAGTTGCGGTGGCAGCTTCTGTGTGCACACTTCCTGTTAGGCTGGCCAGCATGTGTGTGGCCCACAGAATGGCACCCCTGCCCTCAACCCTCGGCCCTGCTCTTGGGAGTGGGCACAGGGGCACACTCCCTCCCCTTCTTGATCTACTCCCCCAGCACCTTCCCTTTCCCCTGCCCTGCCCTGCCCCTTCCCCCCACACACACTTACCTGCTGGGGTGGGTGTCAGTGTCTGTGTCTGCATGTCTGTGGGTCTGGGGGGCTGTTGCGAGGGGCATCAGGAGGGCTGTTGAGACTGTGGGGGGCAGTGCGGAGAACCAGCAGCACTGACAGGGGCTGTGGGGGGCCTTTAATTTTTATCATGGATTTTGGGTTTTTAATCAGAGAATTTGCAATTTTTAATCGGAGAAAACCAGGACCCTGATCATCACACACACTGCTCCACAGGGGACATGTCAATTTTATGAGACCACTATATTTTAAATACCATCTCCCCACACTGGCAGACTCCCCGAAGGCTGGTACTCACGTGGGCCCAAAGGCATCCCCGACTGCTGCAGGTCTGAATTCCTGTTGGACAGCTTCATTATATGGGATTCGCTGAGGAGTCTGGAAGCAGGAGAGAGAAACCAGGGGGCAGGTGTCCCCAAAAAGCCTATGGGACAAGGCAAGGAAATTAAATCTGTGACCCTTTGGAGCCAAATTCTGGCGTCAGGGGATCTGTCTTCCAGACTTCAGACCTAGTCTGGCACAACACAGTTTTTCCAAGTTTGTGACTGAAGAAATACTCAATTTAAGGAAAAAAACCCCCAAACAAATCAGTCTTTTAAAAATTAGTGATCCTCAATCTCATTAGCCTGACAATAATTTCAGCACTGGCCACATCAACAGCGGTATATCTGTTCTGCCTGACACATTCTCACGCCATCAAGTGCCAAGAGGTTGAGACTTTGCAGTTCCCACAAACTATGCTTTCTATGTAAGCAGCAGTGGGTGTTGACACAAGATGCATTAACAACTGGTGTAACTAATGTTGCTTTTGGCACTGGTATAATTCATACAGGAGCAGGTCCATGAGCAGCTCTGCCATGGCAGATTCCCACAGAAGGTGCCATTACAATAGTATTTCACTAGACAACTTGAGAGTCAGTCCTAGCCTGTTTGCCTTGAACATCTAGGAGTGAAGCCAACTAAAGCTGCAGCCCTACATGACATGTGTCAGTGTGCAGCTACTCCCAACCTTCTGAGGACCATCTGAGCATATTAACCAATAACATCTTTGCCACTGAAAAAGTAACCTGAAGATGACAAGTTCCAAGGCAGGGGGGGAAAAATTAGCTATATATGTACCTGCCACAGCAGACATGTCTACTTATTGGTATAGCAGAAATAGCAGAGCTGGAGCAGATCCCTTGTCTCCCCTCCATTTTACCTGTGACAGGCTGTAGGGTGTCTGGGGCTTTGTTTTCATGAGGTGCTTTGAGGCTGTGGTGTGTGAGAGGCTGGAGTACACAATATTTAGGACTTGCTGCATAAATGATTGCCTGTGAATGCAGGGAACTGACCTGATAACTCAGAGTCCTATTCCAGTCTATTTCTAGGGTAACTTTTTCCCTGCAAGTAGCGTGACTCAGAAACACAAAAATGTCTGGCTGGAAGGGACCTCAAGATGCCATCTAGTCCAACTCCCCTGCTCAAGGCAGGGACATCCCTGTCTGAGTCATCTCATCCAAGGGTTTGTCTAAACTGCTCTTAAAAATTCCCAAGGATGGAAATTCTACCGCCTCTGTAGGAGCTGGGCTGTATTTTGTGTTGCAGCTTCATTTCTGCCCTGGTGTAAATCTGTTGTGTGTCTCTACCCTAGAGTTGCTAAAGCTTTACAAATGGCTTTGCAAGGACATTGGAATGTGATACATCCTATGTTCAAAGTTCTGAGTATTATTAAAAACCTGAAGGGTGATTATAGAGAGGACAGAGATAGGCTCTTTCCTGTGGCTGTAGGGGACAGGACTAAAAGCAATGGCCTCAAGCAGCAGCAGGGAAAAATGTAGCCTGGAGATCAGGAGACATTTTCTCTGTAGGTGGTCAGTCATTAGAACAGGCCACCTTGAGAAGTTGTACAATTTCTAACTCTAGAAAATTTTAGAGCAGCTTAGAGACACTTGGCTGGGATGTTTAGACAGGAATGCTTCTGCCTTGAATAAGGGGCTGGACCTTGTGAGGTTTCTTTCAGTCTTATTTTCCCATGATCTGTATGTGTTATGCACCCTGAGAGTAGATGCTGCTCTTCCATGTCATGTTTCTCCCCCATTGATGCCTGCTGTGACACTTCAAAAGCATTCATACAAGCTTCTCTGCCAATAGTAGCAGAGCCAGACACCCTGCTGTTCCCCCCAAGATTGTTTTGGGACATAAACACCCTGCAATGCATAAAGCCTGGCGAAGAGGGTGAGACTGCAGTGAGCAGGATGAATCTAACACTTTACCCTAAACTGTACATGCCACATGTTACAAGGGAAAAGGGGGCCTGCACCAGCTGCGCAGAGCCCCAACTAGCAGTTTGTACCTATGGGGTGTTCAGTGAGGCCACTGTCCACCCTGGCTTCCTGTGTCCACATTGAGGAATCTGATATGTCCAGGCTGTGTCCTGGGACTCCTATACTGACTGGCTCATCTTCTACTCAGACACCAATTAGATCATGGATGCTAGCCAGAAACAAGGGCACTCAGTGCCTGAAAGTTTGTCTACATATCTCCTAACTATACAGTTGGCCCAATAAAAGGCATCACCAGAAAACCCTTGCTTCTCATTATGTTTGACAGCTTTTTGTTTAAGCTTCCTTGTGTGCATTAAAAAGCGGGAGGCCCTGTTGCTTCCTGAGCGACTGCACTGGCACACGAAAAGCCACATGCAATAGACAAAACCCTCAACCAAATGGCAAATCCCCAGATCCATGCAATGGGGCTCTGACAAGTTAAACCAGGGACTGTCCTTAAAGGTATTCACATGAACTAAATACAGGAGATGCTGTGCGTAGTTAGATGGAAATTTAAATCTGGCAAAGACACACAGTCCAGCAGTTTTAAACCCAACAGCTGGTTTGCTTATTTGAATTCTGAAAACTAAACATGAACTTTCAAAGGCCGGTGTGGTCACTGCCAGCAAAATAGCACTGAAGAGATTTTTTTATACAAAATACATTTTTCTTTGCATATATCTTCCTGGAGCAATGCTTGTGCCATGTTCCCACCAGGGTAGTCCAAGGGCAGTCCACTCCCAGCCCATGGGTGAGATCTGGCACACGCAGTTCTCCACACATCCAAAATTTGGCAACAGGGAAGCAGTGGCAATTAGTACTGCCACTTCTTCCCGCACTGCCAAATTTCCAAGCCCTTTCTGGCTGGATCGGGTCCTGGCTGGGCTGCTCCCGCACAGCTGGGATCAAGCCAGATTGGACCCATGGACCAAATCCAGTCCACAGACTGAGCTGGCACCCCTTCTCCAGGCCGTGGAGCAGAAAAGCTGGTGCAGCCTGCGATGAGGGTAACCGTGGCTTGGAGGGCACTCTGTGAATCCTGGTTTCTACCATACAATCTGCACCCTGTGGCAGGGGCGGCGGCACTGTCCAGTGCCACCTCGCACTTAGCGCGCTCTCACATCCCGCTTTCTGTGCGGCACTGTAAGGCTCCGCTCGCTGCAACACCACCTCGACCCGCCGCCTGCACACCCGGCAGGGCGGCCGCGCCGCCACCAGCCATGAGCCCGGCCCG